TGTATGTATATATGTGTGTGTGTGTGTGTGTATATATAGTTGGCCCTCTGTATCCATGGATTCTCCATCCATGGATTCAACAGCCCTTTGAAGACAACCATAAGGCTGATATGGCCCTCAGTGAAAATGTAATTGACACCCCTGTTTTATGTGACTGCATAATAATTCTTTGCATTCAACCTCTACAAAGTATGCCCTTCTGAGACCCAATATTTCACTCTTCCCTTACATGGGTTAGCTGGAGTGCTGTCTTAGAATCATACAGTTGGAAGAGACCTCATGGGCCATCCAGTCCAACCCACTGCCAAGAAGCAGGAAAATTGCATTCAAAGCACCCCTGACAGATGACCATCCAGCCTCTGCTCAAAGAAGGAGCCCCTGCCACACTCTGGAACTGCCTTAACAAACTCAGTTCCTTTTCTGTGCTCATTTGCCATCCGCATTCCAGGAAACCGAAGTTTCTAATTCCAGAGAACTTGATCTCATACACTGTGCTCAGTTTCTCAATGGGGAAACCATGGGAAGGAGACATAGTTCCATCTTTGGATGCCTGGGTCCTGTTTCAGTGGCTATCAGCTTAGGGTACATGCTTCTTCATGAGTCACCGTCCCAAGATGCTCTCATAACAACTTCAGACTTGGGTAGCACTGCGTATTTGTCTGAGTCCAGGTCTTGGAGCTGGGAGAGGAAGACTGCTGTCCGTGGTACTGATGGGCTGGAAGGGATTGGAAGGAAAGAGAATACAGGTTAGAAAAGTGCTTGAAATGGATGTCATTGCTGTTGGGTTTCACCCCTGAGTGCACAAGTCTCCAGTCCTCAATGAGTAGCTAGACTAGACAGGATTAGAGTGAGGGATTCCTTTCACCACATTCCTATGCATGCTTATCCCAGAAGGGGCTCTGTCTTTACTCTTCTTCTCTTGCCACTATCACTCCCCCCCCCCTTTGAAAATGTAGCAATGTAATCTTTATGAAGAATGGGGTAACTTCCTCTTTAAAGGTTTTTTTTATTGCCCTGCCTTGTTGGTCATGTGATCATTCTCCATTTTGGCCCTTTTTTCTTCTGCCTTTGTCTTCCTTTCAGTGAGGACGCATTTTGTCATTCTCCAGACAAAATGTAGCTGCATGGATATTTTATTTTATCCTTCTACCTTCCTTATAAGATAGCTTAGTAAGCTAGTTAGTTCCAAGACCTTGTCTATCTAGAATGGTTTTCTTTTTACTTCAATAAATATATTTTTGAGCCTAAAGTTGTGACTCTGCAATTCTGTACCATCCTGTTGAATTGAAGCTAATCTTAATTCAGCACATGTAAATTTCTGCTGGTTATGAACTGTGCTTCTGGAACTCTGCTATACTTTTTGTGGAATCACCCCAAGTGAGGATTATTTTGAGCCTAGAAGCTCAAATTCCCAACAAATGCCATTGCCCCAAGCAATATTTTTCATCGAATTTGCCAGAAGCAGGGATGGATGAGAATGTCTGTAAATTTGGACAAGAAGTTATCAAAAATTGCAAATTTCTTTCCATCTTGAATGGAAAGAATTTTAGAACCTGAATGTTGGAAAAAATAAAATTCACAGATTTGCCCATCCAGACCAAGAGTTTGGACTGTTTAACTCTTAGATTGCCCTGTGTGTTCAATCACAATAGTGCTGATTGAGGGTTGCCACCCTGAAAATCTCCTCATTCTTAACACCACTATGACTGCCAGAAATAACATCAATGAATCCATATTAGGAACATCTGCACCAGATGAATTTCCTGAGTTTGGGGTTTCCTTTTATTTATTATTTGAGAGGAATCTAGTCCAAATTCACATATTTCTTTGTGTTCAGGAGGAAAAAGAAACTTGTATGTAGGAGAACTTGAAAGCAGCAAGCCCTTTTCAACTCTACTTCTAAAACACTGCCCGATCATCGTCTCCCACAGCAGTTACTATACTCCCAATTCAAGAATGGGAAACATAACGTTGATGGAAAGAAAAAGACATTTAAAGATGGGCTTAAAGTCAACCTTAAAAACTTTGGCATAGACACTGAGAACTGGGAAGCCCTGGACCATGAGCGCTCTAACTGGAGGTCAGCTGGGACCAGCAGTGCTGCAGAATTTGAAGATGCACAAATGAAGGGCAAAAGGGATGTGACAAATGAATGTGTCAAAAGGGAGGAAGGTATTCAAGCCAACCCTGACCAGGATCACCTTCCCCTGGAAATCGGTGTCCCCACTGCAGGAGAATATGCAGATCAATAATAGGGCTTCACAGCCACCTAGGGACTCACCACCAAGACACTACACTTGGAAGACCATCATCCTTGAGCTACGAGGGATCACCTAAGTAAAGTAGGTAAAATCTAATACACTAAAAACTGTCCCTTAGCAAAGTGTTAGTCTCAGGATTTACCAAAGAGGTTGGGCCTCCATATTTGACCAGGTGTTTCTCATATGTAATGGCATAGATGTCCGAGTCTCCAGATGACCAGCAGGAATTCCTCCAAGAAGGATCATTTGACTCCAGTTTGTTGCCATTGGGAAACTGAAATGGCATTGAGAGGAAGGAGAGCAGGGAGCATTTCATTAGGCTGTGGGATTCATTTCTCACAATTATTGGCTACTTTTTCCATGTGTGTACATGAAATCAAACATACGAACTGCAATAATGTTGAACAATTAAAGTGCTTGGCACTTACAAATAGAAACAAGATAACCAGCAGGGAAAAATCATTACACAGCACTCAACGCTCTAAATTTCTACGTGGTAAAATGGCACATCCATTAAGCAGTGCACTATAATTCAATCTAAAACCTTATTAAAAAGAAGTTTGAACTGGCCCTTAAGTATCGTAAAAGATGGTATCTCAGAGAGGCTCTTCCATCCAAGAGATACCATCTCTGTAAATGCCCCTTTATACCTTAGCTTGCATCCACAGTGTAGAATTACTGCAGTTTGACACCACTTTAACTGACATGGCTCAATGGTGTGCAATCCTGGGAGTGACAGCTTCACAAGCACTTTAGGCTTTTGTGCCAAAGAGAGCTGGTGACTCACCAACCTACAACTCCATAGCATTCACCAAGGCAGTTAAAGTGGTATCAAACTGTCGTAATTCTACACTGTAGCTGCACACTTAGTCATTGACTGTACCTTATTGAATTGAGCACACCCAAGAAGTGTCCAAAAGGTCATAAAAGTCAGGCAGATTCAAATGGGAGAAAGTGGTCCTTTAGATGTCCTGATCCTAAGCTATGTGGGGCTAAAAAGTAAATGTTAAACCATTGAATACTAGGCATGTGCATTCGGGCCAAAAGCCATGCCATTTTCAGGTCTGTTTTCATCTGCCCTCTCATTTTGTTTACCAGAAAGTTACTTGAAATGGATGTTTTCTGTTTCATTCAGCAAAGATACAGCCTATTGGCTACAATAGGAAACTTTAAAGGCTCGATTCTCCGCCATTTTAAGGCTTATCTGCATGAATCCTACCTCAGTTGTAGGCCTCATTTACAACTGCAGGCCTGCCAACTTTCAAAACAATTCACCAAACTACTGATTTTTAAGAATTATTTTAAATTTTAACCATAACATTTGGGAATGGTAGTCGCTGGTTGTGTCCATCCTCAGCAAATCAGAGCATGGACACCACCAGGCTTTTTATTGGCTGAGAGACACAGAAAGAGAAAAACTTCAACTCCCAACATGTTCCAAGGGGAACATTCAATGGCCACCCTATGCTAGTGCTGTTGGGTTTCATCCCTGACTGCACATGTCTCCAGCTCTCAATGAGTAGTTAGTCTAGATAGACTTAGGGATTCCTTCCCTAGTTCCTTTAGCTAGGTTGTTTAAGGAGGGGTTAAAAAGGGGAATTGTCTCACTGATCTTTGCAAGGCACTATCTCCTCCCCATTTGAATACCTAGGAATGTAATCCTATAGGGAAAAGTAACTTCCCCCTTTAAAGGTATTTTTATTGTCCTGGGCTGGCCATGTGGCCTGTCTCCATTTTCAGGTCTCTTCTTCCTTTGTCTTTTCTAGAGTGAGGAAGCATCTTGCCATTATCTAAGCAAAGATGTAGTAGATATAGTAACTTTTATTATTTTTCCTTTTTCTTTTTCCTTAGATGATAGCTGAGTGAAGCTAGTCAGTTCCAAGAACCTTTCCTATCTAGAATGGATTTCTTTTATCTTTAATAAACATATTGTTTTTGATCCTATGAATTGTGGTTCTGCAATCCTGTTCCATCCTGCTGAATGGAAGTCAATCCTTGCTCACTACATGTAAGTTTCTGTTGCTTATTTACTGTGCATCCTGCACTCTGCTATATTTTTGGTGGAATCACCCCCAGAGAGGGTTATTTTTGAGCCTAACAGCTCTTGATTCCCAACAAGTGCCACTGGGAAAGCGAGTTCCCAGGGCTCTCTTCCAAGAAAAAATGGAGGAGGTTTCTTCTGCTGGGGGAGAGAAAAAACTGTGGCAGATTCCCTTGCATCAGGTATTTTGTGGACTTAACTCTTTCTGAAAATATCTCTGAATCAGTTTCACTGGTCTTTTCGTTTCTCTCTTCTCCTTTCCGTTTTTGGAAATTAAACAAAACCAGCCTTCTGAAAACTACAAATCTTTTTGTTAACAGTGATTTTGGCCCAAGTCTATTGAATACATGGGTTTCCACACACTGAATGTCAGGTACCATCAGCTCTAGAAACCTATCCATTGGTGAACCTTGATGGGAATTCTAGTGTATCTCTGAAAGCCAAAGGTTACCTAGCTATGCATAGCTTAGTGTGATGCAGGGGTGAAGTGACATCCAGTTTGCAGCCTAAACACTGAGCCACAACACTGGGAAATAGTATTGCTATTAATCACAACCTGCCTACCTCACCAGGTTGTTGTGTAGCTATAAGTGAGTGAAACAACAGCTTTGCTTGGAAAAATAAGATGTATGTGTAACAAAGGAAGAAATACATGAAATCAGCTTGACAAGGTAACTTGGCTCAGTTATATTAATTTTTCATAGGTGATACCATTCATCCATGGCCTTCGTGCACAGGTGATTATATAGCTAAAAATAATTTCATTAATTCCATTACCTCAAAGGGTCATTCTCAGAAGAATCAAGAGATGGTGAAATAAAGGAAAGAACATTAATCCCTGAACCAATTTCTCCATTTACCAGGTTGGTTTGCTTGCTTTTTGTGTATGTCGAGGGGACTCACCACTGTTAACTCATCAAAGTGGGTGTTGCATTTTTCTGTAACAATGAAAAACTGCCAAGCACCCAAAATATTAATGCCAATTGAAAGGTTTGTATGTGTGTTTGTCTTTGTGGTTATTCAATTTGTCTCGTACTTGCTGTGCGTATGTGTTAAGATTCACAAGAAGAGAAAAATACTACTTTTTTTTCACAGAAAGAGAAGTTTATACAAAGCAAATTTTGTATAAATTGGGAAAGCTCTGTCTGTGACCAAGAAAAGTCTCATTTTGAGCTACAGGATACATCCCAAGGGGGATGGAAAATCCTTGAGATGCCATCTCACTTTAGCAAGATGGACAGCCTTGAGTAAAATCTTAGAAATAGCAAAAATGTCTGTACATCCCTAACACATATTCACATTGCACATGCACTCAAACAAAGAGAGAGAAAGAAAGAGAAAGACTGAGAGAATATAAGCGTATTATTTGATTCACCTGACGTGACAGATAGTGCTGCTGACTCTCAAGTGGAATTTTCTTGTTCTTTGCTGCAAAGGACAAAGTCAAGATCACTATGGTTTTTCATCAAGAGGCTGACCATCCCTTCATGCTCAAAGTCATTCTGGAAAATGTACCAGGGACTTCTTTCTAGCCACTGGATTATGTTTAGATACACATACGGTTCAGTCCTAAATAGCTGACATCTATGGATCCTCATTAGCTATGACAAGTTTAGAACAACATCACATGCTTTCTTATTCATTTACTTATTGGTTGCATTCTAAGTATTTATTACTGCAGTGGACCTTGTGGGTTGGTGCCAGGATCTCCACTCAACTACTGCTTGTGGATACCAAAGTATGCRGATGTGCTAGTCCCATTATATACACTTTACTTACTTAGATGATCCCTCCTTGTCCGAGTAGGATAGTCTTCCAAGATCAATGTGCTGGTGGGTCCGTAGGTGACTGTGGAGCCCTATTCTTGATCTGCATCTTCTCTTGCAGTGAGGGCATTGGTTTCCAGGTGGAAGGCGGTCCCAGTAGGGGYTGGYTTGATGCACCTTCCTTTTGGCACATTTCTCTTTCTCCCTCCATTCGTGCCTCTTCAAATTCTACAGCACTGCTGGTCACAGCTGACCTCCAGCTGGAGCGCTCAAGGGCCMGGGCTTCCCAGTTCTCAGTGTCTATGCCAGAGTTTTTAAGGTTGGCTTTGAGCTCATCTTTAAATCTCTTTTTCTGCCCACCAACATTCCGTTTTCCATTCTTGAGTTCGGAGTAGAGCAACTGCTTTGGGAGATGGTGGTTGGGCATACAAACAACGTGACTGGTCCAGCAGAGTTGATGGTGGAGGACCATCRCTTCAGTGCTGCTGGTCTTTGCTTCTTCCAGCACGCTGACATTTGTCTGCTTGTTTCCCCAAGAGTTTTGCAGGATTTTCCGGAGGAAGCACTGATGGAATYGTTCCAGGAGTTGCATGTGACGTCGGTAGACTGTCCACGTTTCGCAGGCGTATAGCAGGGTTGGGAGGACAATAGCTTTATAAACAAGCACCTTGGTATCCCTATGGATGTCCCGGTCCACAAACACTCTCTGCTTCATTTGGAAAAAAGCTGCACTCGCAGAGCTCAGGCGGTGTTATATTTCAGTGTCAATGTTGATGTTTGTGGAGAGGTGGCTGCCAAGGTAGCGGAAATGATCAACATTTTCTAATGTTATATCATTAAGCTGTATTTCTGGCATTGGAGAGGTATTGGCTGGTGACTGCTGGAATAGCACTTTGGTTTTCTCGATGTTCATTGACAGGCCGAGCTTCTCGTATGCTTCGGCGAAGGTGTTTAGAGTGGCTTGTAGGTCTTCTTCTGAATGTGCACAGACGACCTTGTCATCAGCATACTGGAGTTCTATAACAGATATTGTTATAACCTTGGTTTTGGCTTAGGGGTTGATTCCAGGATCTCCACACAACTACCGCCCGTGGATACCAAAGTCTGTGGATGTGCTAGTCCCATTATATACAATGGCACTGCAAAAAGGTATCCCTTTGGTTTTAATATAATCCTGTATATTGGTTTTACTTTAGATCTCAATGTCCTAACAATGACACACCTATTTTAAAATCTTAAATCTTTTTAACCCTTATGCTTGCATGGGACTACATCCCTTTACATCCCTCTTCTCTCAAACTGGTCACTGACCATAATAAAGTGAACTTGCAACTTGGTATCCCTTGTATAAAATGCCAAAAACAAGGCTTGCTTTTTATTTTTTTATTTTTTTCAAACTGAGGATGATTGAATCAGTGGATAAGGAGGGACAGCTATACCAACAAAGCCTGCAATAAAGTATTGCCTTGTGAAATGCTCCTATTCTGGTATTTGATGACTCCACCCCACCCCTCCCCGCAATACTGCTGCTTTAAATATCAAACATGTGGAATTTTTTAAAGAATATCTCTCTCCAGCTAAATGTTTTTGCATGGCAGATATATATACTCAAAAGCCCCTAGAAAAATAGGAAAAATAGGAAATCTTAAGAAATGCATTTTGAACCCCTCAGGCAGAACTTCTTGATTATGGTGCGCAAATGCCTACTTTATTATGGTGCATTAACACAGAATAAACTTGACTGACCGTAAGTGATACTGGGAATTGAAACCTGCATTTGAACTGTCCTGCTGGCACAAGAGTTTAACCCATTGCACCACCTGAGGCTCCCTGCACAGTAATTTAATGTTTGCTAATCCAATTGGTTGAAAGAAGGTAATTTGATGGTAGCCATTCCTTATTATACAACATTTCTTCTGCCTGGTCAACGTCAGATTATGGATGAACCAAATCCTTTGTATTTGACTGCTTAACACAGTACAGCTCACCTCTCCGATGGCAAATGAGCCAAATCATCCAGGCCAGCAAGAACAGGAGGACAAGGAGCAGAAGCATCCCAAAGACTGAGCCAATCACAATTCCAGCAATGGCGCCACCACTCAGACTGGCAACTGCAAGGAAGAAGAAGGCAGAATTAAATGCAACGGTTTTCCAACCAGGTCTAGGTAAAGGTCCTTTTTGGACTACAGCTCCCAGAAAGCCCGAGACTCCTTTCTCATATGCATAGTGTGGCAGTGACATACTTTTATAGGGCTTTTAAAAGTCACTTGTTGGACTACAACTCCTCGAATCTGTGGCGTAATGAAAATAATGCGTAGTTCACATTTTTATCAGTCCACACACTATCTTGCCAGAGAAAGAAAATATACCATGCAAATGATCAGTACAGAACAAGTAGTTTACTATTTGTAATGTAGAGCAACATGTATACGGTGTTCCTTGCTATATCGCAGTTCGCTTATTGCGGACTCGCTGTTTCACGAGTCCGTAATAAATGGGGCAGGGGAGAACCACAGGGGGAAGGAGGAGGAGGAAGAGGAGGAGGAGCCAGGTGCTAGGACTTACTCTGGGGCTTTTCTCCGCCCACGCAGCAGTGGCCTTTTCTTCTTTGCCGAGTCTGCTGCTCGCAACCTCAGAGGTCCCTTGGGCTCTGTTGACAACACTGCCATGTTGGGCAAAGACCTCAGACCAGGCCTCAGCCCAGCCTGGCAGTGCCATCAATGGCACCCAAGGTGCCTCTAAGACAACGAGCAGCAGACTCAGCAAAGAGGACGAGGTCGCTGCCGAGTGGAGAGAACATCCTTCACGGATTTTCACTGTTCGTCCTGGAACAGATCACCCGCGATGAGTGAGGGAATACTGTACAATCATGCGATCAGTTGCATTGACTCACACAATATCCTTTTGAAAGAGATTCAAATGATCATTCGGTGTCCATGTGGAAGATCTCCTTCCAGCAGCTCAAGAAGCAAGAACTGTCTCTCTGTCTAAGCTCCTGCACAGCTCAACCCTAAAATATGTAATTGTTGCCATAATTCCCAGGCTCAGCTAGCTCCCCAGGCATGGTCTAACCCAGGGGTCCTCAAACTTTTTAAACAGAGGGCCAGGCCACAGTCCCTCAAACTGTTGGAGGGCCAGATTATAATTTGGAAAAAAAACATGAATGAATTCCTATGCACACTGCACATATCTTATTTGCAGTGTAAAAAAAGACTTAAAAACAATACAACAATTAACAAATATAAACTTATTAGCATTTCAATGGGAAGTGTGGGCCTGCTTTTTTCTTATGAGACAGGATTTTTGTTGTTGTTGTGTGGTTTCAAGTAGCTTCAGACTTAGGTAGACCCTGAGCGAGGGCTGAGTAAATGACCTTGGAGGGCCGTATCTGGCCTTCGGGCCTTAGTTTGAGGACCCCTGGTCTAACCAATCAGCTTCATGCTTTGCATTTTCAGTTAACACACTCATCAACTGATTTCTAACAGAATCTCCATTTAGCAAATGACAAAGTCATTGTCCGTTATATTATGACTGGCTATATTCTAGCCAGCATGACTATTGTGTTCAAAAGTACCTTCCCAAGCTCTGATATAAACCTTATTGTATAGAATATGGCCTGCGATCATCCCTATAAACTCTCCCAGGAAGAACACTGAGTTATATAGAGAGAAAATACAGTACCGAGGTGGAAAGAGGAGTCGCAATGGCTGCAAATGGAATTGGGAAAAAGGCAAATATTCACATAGTTTTAGAGGCTTCAGCAGGAAATATCTCTGATCCTCTGATAGTAATAATTTTGACCACAAAATTAAAACAGGAGAATATTGGTTGAAGTTCTACTTTATTCTGCTTTATGCTAGAGATCTTTATTTTTAACAACGGCGGTAAAGCATTTTAAATGGCGCTGAAGTGCTTTTTTAAAGCAGTAGGTGTGAATGCTTAGCACAGGTGTTAAATTATGTTAAGCCATTCAAAATGCTTTCACTGCCTTTCTGCGCATTCCAGTCCCCTAAAACCTGGCTTTTCTGCTCCTTTTCCTCAATCAGACTTGTTATAGACTCTCTTGTGGTCACCTGCAGTGAATAAACACTCCCTTCAAGTGACCAAACTGGGAAGTTTTTGCAAATTAGATGATTTTTCTCTCCTTTCAGGCTGTGAAATAAACATCTCAGTAAATTACTTCGGCTATTACAAACTCCATTCTCACCAGAAATCATACATATTTTAAAAATATGGCTCTCACCTTAGCCTGTATGTCATGTTCCTGACGCAGGCATGTTCACTGAATCTAGCAGTGTTAGTCTTAAAATTAATCCATTCCCATTAATTCAGAAATTAATTTTTTACTTGGTTTCGTGACAATTATAAAATTAATTCATGGTGATAATAATTAGTAATGGATTAGCAACATGCTAATTTTAATTATAGAAAAACAATTAAAATTGCTGGGAATGTTCACAATAGGCCACCCTCGACCAAAAAATAAAAAAATTACCACCACCACCCAGTAACAAATTAAAGCAACACAAAGCATTAATTGTTACTCAAGCCGTTATACCATTGTTATGATATAATAATTCAAATAAAGACTTTCAAACTATTGCTATTAAAAATATAATTAGGAGCGGCAAATTATTTTCAAGCTCTGGATGTTAGGCACACTAACGTTGTATGCTCGCTTACCATTTCTGCCCCATGCAGCTAGATATTTACATCCCTTTAGCCCCTGTTCTCTCACCTTGTTAGCCATATATAGCACTCAGTAAATATTTGAATGGTTTTGTTACACATTGAAATTAATGCCTTGCAATACTCATTGGAACAAAAGGGCATACTGCACACTTTTCAACACCTTTTTAACTCTTAAATCTGAATGAAATAGTACAATGAGTCCTCAGATGTTGATCAACCAGCTCCCAGAAACTGCAAATAGCCTGACCAGTGGTCAAGTATTTTGATGGGCTACTGTGTCTAAGTCATAGAATCATAGTGTTGGAAGAGACCTCGAGGGCCATCCAGTCCAACCCCCTGCCAAGAAGCAGGAAAATCGCATTCAAAGCAGCACTGAGAGATGGCCATCCAGCCTCTGTTTAAAAGCCTCCAAAGAAGGAGCTTCCACTACACTCCGGGGCAGAGAGTTCCACTGCTGAACAGCTCTCACAGTCAGGAAGTTCTTCCTAATGTTCAGATGGAATCACCTTTTTTGTAGTTTGAAGCCATTGTTCCGCATCCTAGTCTCCAGGGCAGCAGAAAAAAAGCTTGCTCTCTCCTCCCTATGACTTCCTCTCACATATTTATACATGGTTATCATGCCTCCTCTCAGCCTTCTCTTCCTCAGGCTTAACATGCCCAACTCTTTAAGCCACTCCTCATGGGGCTTGTTCTCCAGACTCTTGATCATTTTAGTCGCCCTCCTCTGGACACATTCCAGCTTGTCAACATCTCCCTTCAATTGTAGTGCCCAGAATTGGAAACAGTATTCCAGATGTGGTCTAACCAAGGCAGAATAGAGGGGTAGCATGACTTCCCTGGATCTAGACAATACTTCCCTGGATCTAAATTTATTTTTGTGCAATAAAGGACATTTTCTTCAGCCACTTTCAGACTGTGGAATGACCTGCTGGAAGAGATTTAATAACTGGATACAGTTTTCAAGATATGCCTCTTCTGGGTGGCTTATTCAGATGATGTCTAACATTTGAATTCCAAAGTCTGCATTGAAGTTTTTATATGCATAGGTTTTATACATATGCTTTTAAAACTGGGTTGCTGTGAGTTTTCCAGGCTCTGTGGCCATGTTCCAGAGGCATTCTCTCCTGATGTTTCACCCACATCTATGGCAGGCATCCTCAGAGGTTATGAGGTCTATTGGAAACTAGGCAAGCGAGGTTTATATATCTGTGGAAAGTCCAGAGTGGGAGAAAGAACTCTTGTCTGCTTGAGGCAAGTGCAACTGTTGCAATTGGCCACCTTGACTAGCATTTAATGGCACTGCAGCTTCAAACCCTGGCTGGTTGCTGCCTAGGAGAATCCTTTGTGGGGAATGTTAAACCAGTGGTTCTCAATTTTCCTAATGCCACGACCCCTTAATACAGTTCCTCATGTTGTGCTGACCCCAACCATAAAATTATTTTGTTGCTACTTCATTTTGCTACTGTTGTGAATTGTAATGTAAACATCTGATATGCAGGATGTATTTTCATCCACTGGACCAAATTTGGCACAAATACCCAATATGCCCAAATTTGAATAATGGTGGATTTGATTTTGTCATTTGGGAGTTGTAGTTGCTGTCATTTATAGTTAACCTACAATCAAAGAGCATTCTTAACTCTACCAACGATGGAATTGAACCAAACTTGGCACACAGAACTCCCTTGACCAACAGAAAACACTGGAAGGGTTTGGTGGGCATTGACCTTAGGTTTTGGAGTTGTAGTTCACCTACATCGAGAGAGCAATGTTGACTCAGGGCCCTTCCACACAGCCATATAACCCAGAATATCAAGGCAGAAAATCCCACAATATCTTCTTTCAACTGGGTTATCTGAGTCCACACTGCCATATATTCCAGTTCAAAACAGATAATGTGGTATTTTATTGAGCTCTGTGGAAGGGGCCTCAAACAATGATGGAGCTCAACCAAACCGCAATACTTAATATGCCCAAATGTGAACACTGGTGGAGTTTGGGGAAAATAGACCTTGAGATTTGGGAGTTGTAGTTGCTGGGATTTATAGTTCACCTACAATCAAGGAGCATTCTGAACCCCACCAACGATAGAAGTGGGCCAAGCTTCACACATAGAATCCCCACGACCAAGAGAAAATATTATGTTTTCTGGTGGTCTTTCATGACCCATCTGCCCCCCCCCCTCACCCCCCCCCCTCCCAGGAGTCCCAACTCCCAGATTGAGAAATGCAGTGCTAAGGGAATTTGGGGACATTTTTTCGATAAATCTTTGCTAGGGAAGATAGAGAGGGGTGCAGCCCTCCAAGGTCTCTGGGGGGCTGATATAGTTGTCCTTTCTGGCTTTATGAAGATGTGATAAATAAGTATCTTCTCCTTCTTTTTCTCCTTATACAAGCCATTAATTGAGATCAGCTCATATAAATCATATAAATCCAGGTTGAGAAACACTGTGTTAAACTGTTATGTGTTTAATTTGTTGTTGTTTTCCACCTCCATCCATAAAGAGAGGCAGGTAAGAAATAATGATGGTGATGATGATGATGGAGTGCCCTAAATATCCTAAAGGCATTATATCCCATGTGATCTTGGAAGCTAAGCAGTGTCATATTTGATTAGTACTTGGATGGGAGACTGCCACTGAATGCGAGCGGCTGCAGACTATATTTCAGAGGGGAAAAATAGCAAAGCCACCTCTGAGTTATTGTTGCCTATGAAAACCCACTGGGTTACCATAAGTCAAAGGCACATATACACATAAGCACGTGCATATGTTACTAGCAAGCTAGCACATTTTGTTATGAGTCAGGAAGTTTACTAATTCTAATTGTAAAGCTATACAAAACAGAAATCCCTTTGAACTACATGTTTACTAAAGTCAGGAATACAAACCTGGTGGATGGAGGATTTGAACATGAGATGCATTGCCAGCCTGGGACCCCAAGTAAGGCACAATCTGGAAGGAATGTGGCGTTTGGGGCTGCAGTCCCAAAAGAGTAGTAGATCTGTTGGTAGCAGCTAAGACTTCCACCGTCTTCCATTCCTCCCCAGAACGGCTTTGCTTAGCACTATGCATCTGGATCCAAAAGCTAGTAACCACTGATCCTTTAGGGACTGTCCAATTCAGGTAAGCAGAACCAGGATAAGGTCCATGGGATAAAGTCCAATTAGAGATGGAAGGACCTGCCAAGAGAAGGAAACAGATAAACTTTGGGTCAAAATAGATTCGTGGATCAGAGATCAAGGACCACAGTTCCTAGTGCGGAATTTTTCTGATGATAGTTATAGACGCGGTTTTCAATTTCTCCTTTTTTGCTCTCTCTCTGGGGGACGATAGGAAAGCAATGATGATGAAGGCAAACACAGGTTCGCCAATCTAGAAGAACGCCTTTGTTGGTGCCAACTGCAATAATAATAATAATAATAATAATAATAATAATAATAATACTTTATTTATACCCCACTCCATCTCCCCCAGGGGGACTCGGTGTGGTTTACATGGGGCCACACCCATCAGTAAAGTACATATACTATAATAAAAACACATAACAATACCAGAAATAAAATACATAAAATGCAAAGAAATAAAATAAACGATGCAGACAGTACAGAACAAGCAATTAAATACAGAAAATTTCACTGAGCAGGGCCACATTCAAAGCTAAAATTTTAAAAACACTGGGAGATAGGGCAATATAAATTATCAGGATGAGGATCCGAGAATGAGGGAGGATTCAATTGCACAAACCATAAATAAAGTGCTTCTAAGGACATTTAGTGCAAAATTTGGCCAGGGAGTTTCTTTCATTCAATCACTGAAGGCACATTGGAATAGCCAGGTTTTCAAATTCCTCCTGAAGATTGCTAGCATGGGGGCTTGCCTAATATCGCTGGGGAGTGAGTTCCAGAGCCGGGGGGCCACCACAGAGAAAGCCCTCTCTCTCGTCCCCGCAAGTTGCACTTGAGATGCGGGCGGGAACGAGAGAAGAACCTGCCATCAAGTCAACTTCAAATTATGGTGACACTATGAATGAGAGACCCCCAAGGGTTTGTTTTTTTATCGTGTCAGAAGCGACTTCAGAAACTGCAAGTTGCTTCTGGTGTGAGAAAATTGGTCTATGGAGACATTGCCCAGGGGACATCCAGGTGTGTCACCATTCTGTGGGAGGCTTCTTGCATGTCTCCGATGGGAAACTGGAGCTGACAGACAGCAGCTCACCCCATCTCACGGATTCGAACTGCCAACCTTCAGCCAGCACAAGGGTTTAACCCATTGCGTCACCATGGCTCCCTCCAAGGGTGTGTTATTGGGCTGTGCAAAAAGTCGTTTGCGCATCACATATCAGATCTATTTCATAAGATTCATATATACAACTTGATATTAATAAATGTGGGTGGTGCCCACGCCAAAAACTTATGAATCAAAACTTTCACCCAGTACTTTTGCATAAATTGCGTAAGCATCGTAACTCTCTCCATGGCGCAGTTTTAACTTCCAGAGCAAGCAAACTGTACTGAGAGGCAAAGTCAAACTTGGGGTGCCTATCAACCTATTAGGATTGAGTGCGGGGGAGAGGAGGCAGTGCCACGGCCATGCCCCTTTAAAGGCTAGGCACACAGTAGGCTACATTGAGAGTGGCTAGGAGGACTGAGTGATTGACTGCTATTAGGACGAATCCAGATCTCTGGGAGACTTCCATATTTATTTTATTTTACTTCTGTAATTTAATTTCTTATTGATTCTGCTAAGGAGTGACTGCTGGGACCAGAATTTTTTTCCCCCAAAACCATTCTGTGGGTGGGAAATTTATCTTAGTTATTTAATCTGATATGCATTTGCTGGGGTGACTGGGGAAATAGTCCCAAAGCTTTAGTAGTTTTCAAAAACTATTCTCCACTCTATCCTAGCCAGCCATAAGATACATTATAGAGAAAGTCAAGGGGATCACTGCTTCAGTAGATGCGCGAATCTTTCTGAAACTTGGGGAAAATGATGCCCTGGTTATGTTGTGTCATTGTAGAGAAATTCAAGGAGATAGTGCTTGCAGTTTTTTTAAAATAAAAAATAAAAGTTCAAAAAACTTTAAAAATTCCCCCAAAAAATCAGTGGATGAGTGAAACGTTCTGAATCTTGGAAGGTAACAGTGGTAAATGTGTTCTACAGTTATTATTATTTATTTATTTACCATATTTATGCCCTGCCCTTCTGAACCCTGAAGGGGACTCAAGGCAGCTTACACATAGGTAACTATTAAATGCTTTAAACAACATACAATAAAAATAAACATTTAAATTAAGATTAAAATTAATACACATTAAAACAGTTTAAAACATTACATCCATTATAAAAACCATGCCATCCACAATCGTTATCCAGGGACATTCTAATAGTCATTAAAAATATTCCATATTTTTCTCTTGTACTTCTCCGATGGTTTGATCCCAAAGTCCCATTTTCACTCTCTTTCTGAAGACTATTAATGTAGTAAATAAATAAATAAGGCCAGGAGGGAGGGGGCAAGAATTAAGAGTCCAATCTTTCAAACAAGAAAATAATAATAATAATAATAATAATAATAATACTTTATTTATACCCCGCCACCATCTCCTCAAGGGGACTCGGAGCGGCTTACATGAGGCCAAGTCCGACAACACATCAATAAAACAAAAACCAATAAGCAAATAAAACAATACAATTAATATAACTCACATATAAACAATAACATGCAAGGATTTAAAAAACCAATGGTCGGGCCAAATGTAATCGTTTAAAAATTTAAAAAATAAACGCTGGGCATGAACAGAGGTAGGATGTATCTGGTAGGAGGGTTTTAAAAGAAATGAAGGGAGACCAACCCAGCGAGTAGTTAAAGTGCTTCTGAAGACGTTTTGCTGGGAAAGCTACTTCCAAGCTCCAAATATACCAAAGCTCCAGCTCCTATTTACAGACAGTGAGGAATTGGCATTGGGAGTTCAATGACCTCTAAGACTTGGATAGGATCTGAACTACTGTGTTATCCAAGACTGCAAAGATCTTACCAATGACAGTTAAACTGGACTGTTGAGATCCCAATGGATTGGAGCAGATGACCCTGTAATCCCCTAAATCCTCTGGGGCTGTGAAGTTCCAGATGGTGAAGTGTGTCCTATCCGGGCTAAGCTGATAGCGATCACTGGTGGAAAGCAGCGGCTGCTGGTCCCGAAACCATTTAATCTCCACTGGGTTAAAGGTGCCTTGGCAATGCAGTTCCACAGCAACCGATCCATTAGCATTGCTGTCTATTTGAAATGAGAGCAAGACTCCCGAAGGTGCTTCTGTGGAAGGAGACCAAGTTTTAGTAGTGAAAACAAATATTGACAGATTCTGAAATGGAATAAATCTCAGCCCAAGTCTAACGTTCCTGTCTTCTCCTTTCTCCTCCCCATCAGAAGGGAATAGGGAGAAGATATGTTACTACAAAGTGGTTTGGATGACAACAAGAGTTAAGTGGTAGTCCACAAACTAATATTCCTGAGCTCTTGACTTTCTTTATACAGTAGTATAAATGTGCCATTGTTCTCATCAGCTATAGCCCAGGTAATTTACAAAATATTGAAAACAAAAGCATCAATAAAACCTATAAAAGATATTTTAAAATGCAATTAAACAATCTATAGATTTAAAATGGCTTAACAACACATTACAAACAGAACATACCATTAAAGCACACCATTAAAGCCCGTTGCAATCAGTTCCCAAAGGCTTATTGAAGCATGTTGCAACTTCTCTTTACTTGAAAGATTGCAAAGGAGTAAACATTAGTTATGGGCCCGAAATCTGTCCCATCTGTTTGATTCGGGTTTCCATTTCGTTCTGTCCATTCGGATGACACGAAACAGGAAGGCCCCTCCTGGAACGAAAATAGACTCTAAACGAAGGGCAAGCAGGAGTGGGTACCAGCTCCAAGCCTGCTTTTCGGATCAATTGCCTGGGGCCTGGCAGGACCTACAGCCAAGCACCGAGTAAGAAGTGCTCTTTACTCGGCACTTGGCTCCAGGCACCCCAGAACTTTGGGCTTATGGGTGCAAGCTTTGGGGCTATGTGCCCAGGCTTCAGAGGGCCTGCAGCCAAGCGCTGAGTAAGGAGTGTTACACTAAGACGTAACAGCATCAAGTATGTGTGTGTGTGCGTTAAAGAAAACCTTATGCTGTTAATTATTATGTGCAGCTGCTAATGTAGGTCAACTAGTAAGTTTGGAGCACACCTGGTGATATAACTGTATGGTTTTTAGAATACAGTTCAGCTTTTGCTCTGAGGAGCCTTTGCTCAGGGAGTTTGCTCAACCATTTCTACTGCTCTCTCATTTGGATGAAGATGAAGAAGCCTTATTCTGTATTGCTTACAAAGACTATGTAAGTTTGTTGCACTGTTTGTAACATTGCAAGTTTATGTTTTAAATCTGCTGATAAGAGTAAAGTTTTTCTGTTTTTTTCTCTCTTGCCTAGGTGCAATGTTACTGTGTCTTCTGCATTGGACTTGACTGAAATACGCTTAGCGCAACAAGGAGCACTTCTTACTCAGCGCTCAGCTGCAGGCTCTGCAGGCCCAAAGCCTGCACCCGTAGACCCATGCACTTTGGGTCTATGGGTGTAGCGCCCCCCCCCCCCGCCAATAATGGGCCAAAGATAATGGATATTTCGGGCTCGTAAACAAAAAATGAGTAGCTTACTCCTGATTTCGGGAGGCTCAGAGAAAACGGATTGGGGGTCCCACCAAAAGCTGGGACACGAAACGGATGTAGGTAAAGCCTGAATGCACATGACTAGTAAACACAGCTATTATCTTATCCTGACTTCACATCATCCTTAGGAGACATGTTTAGAAGGCATGACAGCAAATGGACAAAGAATTTCATAGATTGTCCCTGGTTCAGCTCCAACACTCCTCTCTCCTCCACTGCTTTGAACCAGAGCCATTTCTAAACTTTGCAGCTTCTTGCTAAAGGAGAGTTGGTAGGCTGCTATCCTTCATTCACAAACGAAGGCATTTTTTTAATTCAGCCAGGCCTTTAGCATATAAACCTGGCCCCTCTTGAAGGAGGCTCTATATTTCTTATGCTTTTTAAGTCATTGGTTCTCTCTTAATATTTGGATTCAGATTTTGTTTTTGTTTTTAGCTTCTTTGAATGCCTTATTTTGCTAGACATGTTGGGATATAAATAAAATACATAAGAATACCCTTTCATGGTGGAAGGGAACATCCCCACTTCACTGGGCATCCCTTCGTATGCTGCTAATAGATTATTTGACCTCCATTTCCTACTTCCCTGCCTTCTGCTCTTCCTTGCAGCAGTTTCTCCTAGTGTAGAGCAACCATAACTCAAAGCTATATAGGCTCTAGAGGGTTAGAATTGGGCACTAGCCTTTTCTACCCGCTTAAAGGGAGAAGCCAGGATGGCTCCACATTAAGTAATTTCCAACGTTCTTGGAATAAGATGGGACTGGAATCTTCCAAGCGGCCCAAGTCCTGGTTCAGTGCTCCCTTGGGCATTTTGATGCATTAGGATTGTTGGGTTATTATTTTTCCTTGCATTTATATAATAATACTTTTTTATAGACCACCCTCTCTTCCCGTAGGGACTCACGGCGGTTTACATACACATAAAACAGACAAACATTAAATGCCAGGCAAAAACTTATACAACCATAAAAAAAAATAAACATTAATAAACTTATTACAAGAAAAAATTAAAGTTAACATAATAAAAATACAAATACATAAATAAAACATACTTACAGTAATAAAACATAATTGAACAGAAACATATAAACTATGAGAATTTAAAAAACGCCTAATGTCAACGATAATTTAAGGATACGCCGTAGCAACCATAAAGTGCTAACCGTAGGAGCTATAAAGTGTTAAGTGCTACTCCTCCTCCTCTCCATATACTAAGGTACATAAGTGTGTTTTCAAAAAAAATTTGAAGGAGAGGAGGGTTGGGGCATTTTTATTTCTTTAGGAAGGGAGTTCCAGAGATGGGGAGCGATCATGGAGAAGCCCCTCCTCTCATTCCCACCAAACGTGCCTGTGATGGGGGTGGGACCGAGAGCAGGGCCTCCTCCACTGACTGCAATGCAGAAGATGGTCTATATTGGGAGATGTGGTTAGACAAATAGCCTGGACCCGAACCATTTAGGGCTTTATAGGTAATGACCATCACTTTTTATTTAGTTCAGATGTGGACCAGTAGCCAGTGGAGCTGCTGTAACATGGGAGTTGTTCTCTCCCTGTATGGAGCCCCAGTTAGTAACCTGGCTGCCGATCTCTGAACTAGCTGTAGCTTATGAACTGTCTTCAAAGGCAGCCCCACATAGAGGGTGTTGTAGTAGTCCAAATGTGGTGTGACTAAGGCATAGACTACCATAGCCAAGTCAGGCATTCCAAGGCACGAGTGTAGCTGGTGCACAAATTTATTTATTTCATTTCTACCCCGCCTTTCTCAACCCAAGAGGGGACTCAAGGCGGCTTACAAATTCGGCAAAAATTCAATGCCACACAGGTAAACAAAAAACACATCCCATAAAAATTTAAACAATCTAAGCATACAAACAATTACAATTTTTAACAATCTATCAAGCAGATTAAAAACCACATATAAAATACTGAGTCATGAACTCATGTCCAAATCGTTTTCCAAAATCCAACCCATTATTCAAGCTGTTAAAGCCTCATTCCGTAGTTTCCTATTCACCAAACGCCTGTGTAAAAAGCCATGTCTTAAGTCTCTTTCTAAAAACCAGGAGGGATGGGGCCTGTCTGATGTCACACAAGAGGGAGTTCCACAGCCTCAGAGGGACCACCACTGAGAAGGCCCTGTGGCAAAAGTATGATAGCTGGGACCCTACGCTAGTAGCTGGGACCCTACGCTGGTTGTGCAATGCGGGTCAGAATTGATGAAGGGAAGATGTGCGCAACACGGGTCAGAAAGGGGGGCAGAAGGGGGGAACAACAAACAGCCAACGCTGGTTGTGCAATGCGGGTCAGAATTAATGAAGGGAAGATGTGCGCAACACGGGTCAGAAAGGGGGGGGCAGAAGGGGGGAACAACAAACAGCCAAGCATACTGCTTAAGGCGAGTGAAGTAATGTTAGAGTTATTTACTGTTAAATGATAAACAACGGCTTACGAAGGGCAGAAATGTTTCCTCTCCCCCTTTCTGGTGAACAATGTTCCCAGGACTCTGATGCAGCTGTATCTCTCCCTTGCTCCACTGTCTTGCGTACCTCTTCCCTTCCTTAATTCAGAGCCGCGTTACTCAACTAGCGTAGCGTTGGGTCCCAGCTATCATACTTTTGCCAGCCCTGTCTCTCACCCCAATCAATCACGCTTGCGAAGAGGTTGGAACAGAGAGCAGGGCCTCCCCAGCTCTTAAAGCTCTTTTAGGCTCATAGAGGGAGATACGTTCGGACAGGTAAGTTGAAAGTCCATGTCAGATCTTCATACAAATCAGGTATGAATAAAAGGCTTCAGGTTTTTTTAAAGCAGGCATGGGCAAACCCCAGCCCCCAGATGTCCCGGACCCCAACCCCCACTACTCCCAGCAAATGTTAACTGTGCGAAGGCCAGCAATGAGTCCAGTATTGCCCCCAGACTGCGAACCTGTGCCTTCAGAGGGAGTGTGACTCTTACCTGGAACCATGCTGCAGTTGCCCTCTCTGGTCAAGTGATGTCCCAAACAGGTGATATTCTTGCCACTGAGCCCATCTGGGAAGGGAGAGGCTAGCAGTTGTTGCAAGGTAGAATCACTGGCCTCTTTGCTGGGTCCAGGCAGGCCCTGAAATCTCAAATGGGGAGCAGGGAATCCCCCAGGCCAGGAACAGGTGAAAAGCAAAGCGGTGCCATTGTCAGCAGAAGTCACGGAGCAGTGGGGCAACCCAGAGGGTTGTTCTAAAAGGAAAGTAAAAAAAAGAAGAGAGAGATGAGTTTATTTATTTATTTTGTATCAAAAGCATTGCATATATTAGTATAAAACAGATAAAAATAGAAGGAGCACAAGCGGTTGAATATCTTTTGACCAAAAAGATATATTCTTTTGGTCAAAAGAAGAGACCAAATCATACAGTCTGTACTCCTTTTTAAAAAGCAAATAAAAGATACTACAATCGGATGCTATACAATCTAATCTCCCCATACTCCTGACACAGCAGTAACTTCAATCATCAGTTCTGAAATATGTTTTAGGCATCCAAAGAAAAGAGATGGACAAAATTAGCAAGGGAATGTGGACGCAGCAAATATAAGATTTCTAGAAGTGTGGACAATTTTCAGTGTTTTGTTTTCTACCATATAGAAAATTGGTGAGTGACGAAAAGCCTCATATTGGGTGAGAATTCTTATTAGCAGGGTAATATCATCATTTTGTCTTCCTTGTTGCCATTACCCTTGGCAGAGTCAAAAACACAGAGGGTTCAGGCAGATATACTTGTATTATAAAGATGGAGCAAATTTGGATTAAAGCTTGGGTTGATTCTTTGGTCCACAGTCCTTCCAGATGGACGGGAGAGGGTTGAATAAAGGAACAATTAAAAAGTGGGCATCTAAACATTTTAGATCCCCCCTCCTTTTTTAAACATCCCCTGAACCTGCTGCAGTTGTCCATCTCTGGTCTTTGACGAACCTGCAATCCTCAATGTAAGTTTCAAAGTTTCTACAACCAATAGGAGCAGATCTCTGGAAAGACTTAGCTATCTTTCACCTAGTAGCACACTGGGAGAAGAGGGAAGAGACTAGAAATGTGAATGATAGAATGAGACAGGATACTTTGGGCTTTGGAATGAACCTCTGCCAGTTTCAACCATTTTGGCCACAACCATTTTGGCCTCAACCATTTTGGCCACAAGGATTGTAACCCTTGAGTGGAAAAAAATCACCACCTGATAGAGAATTTACATATCTATATCACAGAAAATTGACTAGTTGTTCCTATTGGGACCATGGTAATACAGAGGGTTAAACCTCTAGCTGCAGGAAATCTGCTGGCCGGAGAATTAGCAGTTCGAAGCCACAAGTTGGGATGAGCTCCTAACTGTCAACCCTAGCTTCTGCCTACATAGCAGTTTGAAAGTTTGTAGTGTGAGTAGATCAATAGGTACTGCCTCAGTGGGGACGTGAAAGGGCGCCCCATGCAGACATGCCGGCAACATGATTGGAGAAGTCTATGGACAACAGGTTCCTTAGCATGGCAAGATGGAACAAGAGCACCTCCCCATAGCCAAGTTGAGCATCACCTCCAGATGCTGGCAATGGAAGGGGATGGCCTTTACCTCTGACTATGTATTGCATGTCCTTGCTTACTGTGTAAAAAGGCATTGAATGTTTGCCTTATAGATGTATAACTGTAATCCTCCCTGAGGGCCCTTCCACAGAGATATATAACTCAGAATATCAAGGCAGAATATCCCACAATGTCTACTTTGAACTGAGTTATCTGAGTCCACACTGCCATATATCCCAGTTCAAAGCAGATAATGTGGCATTTTATTCAGCTGTATGGAAGGGGTCTAAGTCCCCTGGGGAGATAAAGCAGAATATAAATAAAGTGTATTATTATTATTATTATTATTATTATTATTATTATTATTATTATTCTCTCCAGGGGATTCTGGGAAATGGAATTTTGATGGCCTAGGTGCCCACTCACACTACAGAATTTTAAGAGCCGAGCTTTAGCACAGCAAGTTAATCGCCAGCTGCCAGGCATGTAGCCAGCAGCCGACCAAATTCTCATGGTGGTTCACAAAAAGGACTTACTGGTGCATTATTTAAACTGTTATGTTTATTCATATCATGATCTGATCACCATACTCAATATATCCCATATGCATGGGGGTATTGGGGTAATGATACAAAAGGTTTGCTAGGTAGACCCTCTTTCACTCAGACTCCCCCCCCCCCCCCGCATCGAAATCCTGGCTACGGGCCTGCGAGCTGCAGTAAATCTTGCCAACTGAAAGGTTGACAGTTCGAAGCCCAGGTCAGGGTGAGCTTCTGGCCTTTAGCCCAGCTTCTGCCTACCTCGCAGTTTCAAAAACAGCAATGTGAGTTGATAAATAGGTACTGCGGGGAAGTATTTGTGGGGAAGTATTTCAGGCACCCATAAGGAAATGCCAGAAGAATAATGGCAATTCGATCAAGTAGCAAGTTTACAAACAAAGCTCTTAGGAGAGAAAGTGGAGCAACAGCGTGCACGCACGCACACACATATATACACACACCGTGGCCAGAACCGAGCACAGCCTCCAAAATGCCGAAGATGGGAAAGCCTATATATACCTCTATCTATATCAGTGTTTCTCAACCTGGGGGTTGGGACCCCTGGGGGGTTGTGAGGGGGTGTCAAGAGGGGTCACCAAAGACCACCAGAAACACAGTATTTTCTGTTGGTCATGGGGGTTCTGTGTGGGAAGTTTGGCCCAATTCTATCGTTGGTGGGGTTCACAATGCTCTTTGATTGTAGGTGAACTATAAATCCCAGCAACTACAACTCCCAAATGTCAAGGTCTATTTCTCCCCAAAATCCACCAGTGTTCACATTTGGGCATATTGAGTATTTGTGCCAAGTTTGGTCCAGATCCATCATTGTTTGAGTCCACAGTGCTCTCTTGATGTAGGTGAACTACAACTCCAAAACTCAAGGTCAATGCCCACCAAACCCTTCCAGTATTTTCTGTTGGTCATGGGAGATCTGTGTGCCAAGTTTGGTTCAATTCCATCATTGGTGGAGTTTAGAATGCTCTGATTTTAGGTGAACTATAGATCCCAGCAACTACAACTCCCAAATGACAAAATCAACCCCCCTCCCCAACCCCACCAGTATTTAAATTTAGGCGTATCGGGTATTTGTGCCAAATTTAGTCCAGTGAATGAAAATACATCCTGCATATCAGATGTTAATACTGCAATTCATAACAGTAGCAAAATTACAGCTATGAAGTAGCAACGTAAATAATTTTATGGTTAGGGTCACCACAACAAGAGGAACTGTATTAAGGGGTCACAGAATGAGGAAGGTTGAGAAACACTGATCTATATACAGTTGTCTGTCTTGTCAGTGTATAACGGCATTGAATGCTTGTCGTATATGTGTTCTGTGATCCGCTTTAAGTCATCTTCGGGGTGAGAAGGGCGGAATATAAATATCGTAAATAAAGGAATAAATAATGCTAATTCCACTTTAACTACCATGGTTCCAACATAAAGAATCCTGGGATTTGTAGTTTGGTGAGGCATTAGGAGAGTACTCTGGCAGAGAATTCTAAATGCCCTTCCCTAAACTGTCAATTCCAGGATTCCACCAAGTCGAACCATGTAACAATAATGTAACGGGATAGCCTTTGTGGAATCTCTAACATGGAAATTCAATACCATTACCAGGTGATATATTCATTGGGAGAACCCTGAAAGCATTTATAGTTTTCCTTAGCCCAAAGCCCTCCACTTGAGACTGGGGAAAAGAGGTTCATGCCAAAGTCAACTAACGGGCAACTTTGAGGTTGACAGTGCTCCGAACACGCTTTTGGGTGCGCTGGTTGATGGCTAAGCACGAATATGGCCCAGCCTGATTCAGCTGTACTCGAGGCAGGTGCAGAATTGGCAAGGAGGGCACATTGAGATCTTCAGCATCTGCTACATTCCAGTAGATCTTTGCCTGAGGCTCAGATGGTGCCAGGCAGGTTAGGTTCACTGTACTATTCACCAGAACGAAACTCCCAGCATCCGAATCCTGGTCCGATGACGAGATTGTGATTGTTGGAGTCTCCGGACCATCTGAGAGGAAATGAAATAGTAGTTCCATGAAATACTTTACTAGTATTGTGTCTATAGCAGACATAAAAAGACAAGGCAGCCAATTTACCTATCCATCAGGCTTAAGTACTGCAGGGGCCCTGCCTTTTCCTCCTGGCTTTGGTTATCCAGGTTGCGACCTCACTGACGAATGGGGTGATTCAAATTGATGGAGTGGCCATTTAGCAGGAGAAAGACAGGCTTATGGTCTGTCATTTTGCCCAGCCACCTGGGAATGCAAAGAGGTTCTCCTTGGGTCAGTGGCCGCTTCCCTTTGTGGCTGGGAGGGTTCAGTCCTTTGTCCCTCAATGTGCGGAGAAAGGGCAGCCACTCCAGGTACAAAAAGCACATGCTGCCATTTCTCACAGTACCTTCCAAAATGTTCCACTTAATGATTTATATGAGCTGATCTCAATTAATGACTTGTATAAGGGGAAAGAGAAGGAGGAAATACTTACTTATCACATCTTCATAAAGCCAGAGAGGATAACTATATCAGCCCCCCAGAGACCTTGGAAGGTTGCACCCCTCTCTACCTTCCCTAGCAAAGATGCCCCCAAATTCCCTTAGCACTGCATTTCTCAACCTGGGGGTCGGGACCAGATGGGGGGGGGAGGGGTCACCAAAGACCCAGAAAACACAGTACTTTCTGTTGGTCATGGGGATTCTGTGTGAGAAATTTGGCCCAATTCTATTGTTGGTGGGGTTCAGAATGCTCTTTGATTGTAGGTGAACTATAAATCCCAGCAACTACAACTCCCAAATCTCAAGGTCTATTTTCCCCAAACTCCACCAGTGTTCACATTTGGGCATATTGAGTTTGTGCCAAGTTTGGTCCAGATCCATCATTGTTTGAGTCCACAGTGCTCTCTGGATGTAAGTGAACTACAACTCCCAAACTCAAGGTCAATGCCCACCAAACCCTTCCAGTATTTTCTGTTGGTCATGGGAGTTCTATGTGCCAAGATTGGTTCAATTCTGTTGTTGGGGGAGTTCAGAATGCTCTTTGATTATAGGTGAACTATAAATTCCATTAACTACAACTCTCAAATGACCAAATCAATCCCCCCCCCCCAACCCCACCAGTATTCAAATTTGTGTATTGGGTTGCCAAATGTGGTCCGGTGAATGAAAAGACATCCTGCATTTCAGATATTTACATTAAGATGCATAACTGTAGCAAAATTACAGTTATGAAGTAGCAATGAAGATAATTTTTTGGTTGGGCATCACCACAACATGAGGAACTGTATTAAATGGTTGCAGCATTAAGAAAGAAGAGAACCGCTGCCTTAGCAGATTATAGTGGTTATTGCTGTCACGTCTCTATACCCTGAAGGCAAAGATAGCACTGGGGACATATGCAGCCTAGGGCTACTTTTTGCCCACCTCTGCCTTAAAGCATTATTTTCGACACTATGTGCATTTTATTTATATTCCACCTTTCTCCCAAAATGCAAACCAAACCAGCTTGTGATGAATGTTAAGACAAAATAGTTAAAACAGTATGTGACACACAGGTTAGACTTCTTCAACCAGAGAAGCCAGCCACAGCAGAGCACATGATGAACCTACATGGACCCAGCATATTATTTGAGAGCACAGACATGCTGGACCACTCTAACAACTACCATGCCAGACTACACAGAGAAGCCATTGAAATCCACAAGCATGTGAACAATTTAAACAGAAAGGAAGAAAAAATGAAAATGAACAAAATCTGGCTACCAGTATTAAAAAAAACTCTAAAATCAGGATAGTAAATAAAGAGCAACACTCAAAAAGCAGATGAAATCCAGAAGAGAATCAACTGGCCAGCTAAAACCTCTCAACAAAGGATTCCCCCAGGCAGCAACCATACACTCTTTGAAGCTGCAAGGCCATTCAATGATAATCATGGTGGCTAGTTGCAACATTCAGACTTACCTCAAGCAGACAAGAATTATTTCTCCCACCCTGGACATTCCACAGATATATAAACCTCGCTTGCCTAGTTTCCAACAGACCCCTCAACCTCTGAGGATACCTGCCATAGATGTGGGCAAAATGCCAGGAGAGAATGCTTCTGGAACATGGCCATACAACCTGGAAAATTCACAACTACCTAGTGATCCCAGCCACGAAAGTCTTCAACAACAAGTTAGAAAAACATTCAACAATCTAAATAGTACTTTAATCTATGAATTTAGAACAATTAAAACTATAGTATTTACTCCATATTATAAATAATATTTTCAGAGTGCAACTTTCTTTCTCATTCAATTGAAGGCTGAAGGAAAATCTTTGCCTGCAATGCAGAGAGGTGCCCAATTGAGCCTCTCTTGGGAGAGAGCTCTATAGCCTAGCAGCAGCGGCCAAGAAGGCTCTCTCCTAGGTCTTCACCAATGGAGCTTGAGAGGATGGTGGGATAGAGAGAAAGCTCTCCCTTGAAGATCATAAGACTCATCAGGCTTGTGACCTAAGAAATGTAGAGCTTTATAGCCCATAAACAAAACTTTGAATCGTGCACAGACATGGAGAAGCAGCCAGTAAAGTAACATATTTCAACAACTTGTTTTCTTGGGTTGTTGTATATTTTTTTGGGCTGTATGGCCATGTTCTAGAAGCATTCTCTCCTGACATTTTGCCTGCATCTGTGGCAGGCATACTTAGAGGTTGAGAAACATCAGGAGAGAATGTTTCTAGGACACGGCCATACACAGCCCAAAAACCCTACAACAACCCAGTGATTCAGGTCATGAAAACCTTCGTCAATAACTTCTTTTCTTGTTTGAACGAAAGAGTTTTATGCTCCCTCTAACCAACCCTGGCCAACAGTCTAGCCACAGCATTTTGTACCTACTAAAGTTCCCAAACTATTCCCAAACACAGCCCCAATCTGTTCCACAAATGCAAACTATAGGCTAGCTATTAAACTCTGGAAGACCTTTTTTGTACTTCAGCCAGATATGAGAACTTTAGTTTTCAAATTCAGCTAGGCACATGTTAGGACGGGGAAATATGAATGGAGCTCTTTGACTTTATAGTTCTTGCAAATATTAACCATTGGAGGGGAATTGGGAATAGGAACATGATGCAGGGCAAGGGAAAGTTTGATTATTTCCATTTCTGCTGTAGCCAAGATAGATGCCTTATTAATAAAAAATCTTGGAGTACACAGTTTGTACTGGAATGCACTTACACGTTATGACTGCGTGTTTCTGCTGGTCAAACAATAACTCTGGGGAAGAGGGAGTGGATTTTATTCTGGCGGAAGAAGGATGGAAGAAAAGGATTGATGCCCTGCACATGCCATTTTTCTGTTCTAAAGCATCTCCTACCATAGTTGGAAATATATTTGCAATGTGCACTTTGATCCATACTGGCTATCCAGAGAGGACTGCAAAGATACACCTGTTATCGAAGCCCTAATGCTTCTTAGCGAAGCTGTGAAGGGCACACTACAGCGATTAAGGACACACACTTTTCCTCCCAACTATGGTGTCTGATGGTTTCCTTGTCATAATGATATTGAGCAAGAATTTAGGGGTCTTTGCCAGTAGGCAGAGACCGGCCAGACCCATCAAAGAGAGTCCTTTCAGCCCTGGTGAGAAAAGAAACACCCAATAGAGTTTTCCCTGATTTTCCAATAAAAGTCTCACCAAGCTGAAGAAAATTTATTTATTTATTTATTTACTTTACTTTACTTTACTTGTATACCGCAGTTTCTCAGCCCAACAGGCGACTCAACGCGGTTTACAACAAGGGTAAAAAGTCAGTCAACGATATACAATTTAAAACCATAAGAACATAGTATACAAATATTAACACAACAGTAACAACACAATACATCTCATCACTAGAGTCGTGATCCAATTCGTCGTCCATATTTCCATTCCTGTAATCATCACATTCATTGCACTGTTTATCCGAATGCCCGTTCAAACATCCAAGTTTTTAATCTTCTTCGAACACCATTAGCGAGGGGGCTGATCTTACCTCCATAGGAAGGGCGTTCCACAGCCGAGGGCCACCACAGAAAAGGCCCTGTCTCTCGTCCCCGCCAGCCGCACCTGTGAAGCAGGCGGGATAGAGAGCAGGGCCTCCCCAGAAGATCTTAGGGTCCTGGCGGGCTGATAGGCAGAGATACATTCGGATAGGTAGCTTGGGCCAGAACCGTTTAGGGCTTTATAGGCCAACGCCAGCACTTTGAATTGAGCCCGGTAGCAAATCGGCAGCCAGTGGAGCTGGTGCAGCAGAGGAGTTGTATGCTCCCTGCGCTCCGCTCCTGTTAGTATCATGGCTGCCGAGCGTTGGACTAGTTGGAGCTTCCGAGCCGTCTTCAAAGGCAACCCCACGTAGAGAGCGTTGCAGTAGTCTAACGGGATGTAACCAGAGCGTGGACTACCGTGGCCAAGTCAGACTTCCCAAGGTACGGGCGCAGCTGGCACACAAGTTTTAGCTGTGCAAATGCTCCCCTGGTCACCGCTGAAACCTGGGGTTCCAGGCTCAGCGATGAGTCCAGGATCACACCCAGACTGCGAACCTGCGTCTTCAGGGGGAGTGTGACCCCATCCAACACAGGCTGTAACCCTATGCCCTGTTCGGCCTTACGACTGACCAGGAGTACCTCTGTCTTGTCTGGATTCAATTTCAATTTGTTCGCCCTCATCCAGACTGTCACAGCGGCCAAGCACCGGTTCAGGACCTGACAGCCTCCTTAGTAGCAGGTGGAAAGGAGTGACAGAGTTGGACATCATCCGCGTACAGATGACACAGCACCCCGAAACTCCAGATGATCTCCCCCAGCGGCTTCATGTATATGTTAAACAACATGGGGGACAGTATTGAACCCTGAGGAACCCCACAATGCAAAGGTTGTGGGGTGAACAGGTGTCCCCCAACAACACCTTCTGAGATCGACCCTCCAGGAATGACCGGAGCCACTGCAAAACAGTACCTCCAAGACCCATCCCTGCGAGGCGTCCCAGAAGGATACCGTGGTCGACGGTATCGAAGGCCGCTGAGAGGTCCAGCAGCACCAACAGGGACACACTCCCCCTGTCGAGCTCCCGGCGCAGATCATCCACTAAGGCAACCAAGGCTGTCTCGATACCATGTCCCGGCCTAAAGCCAGACTGTGTTGCCTTTATTTTGTCCCAGCTGGTACGGATGTCAAGCTGCAATTCCTTGCCAAAAGCTGACATGTTTTGCAAGGCAGAACAGTACATTTTTATAGAGAAACATAGCTGTCAAATTCAAATTTCCTGCCCCTGTCCCCTTTGCTGGCTTCATGCTGATTGGTTGGAGTCATCAGCTGGAGGGAAGGTGCGGCTGGCTCAAGTGCGCCTCAGCCAATGGGAAAGCCATCGCCACTTCAGCCTCTCGGCCAATGGGGAGCGAGGAGGCAGTCCGAGCAGGAAACAATGAACCGGGAGGAAAAGATGAGTGGATTAAAATGACTTAATGTTTTGTCCAATTGCTGTCGATAACCCTGAAAGTCCTCAAGCTAGCTTTTGTATTGTTTAACGTAGGCAGGCAAGTAGCCGGGAGGGGGGGGGAGGGGGGCTTGAGGGGCTTCAGCCCCCCCCCCCGAAATTCTCATGGTGGTTCGCAAAAAGGCCTTACTGGTGCATTATGTAAACCGCCGAAACGAAATCCTGGCTATGGGCCTGAATGTAGGTGAAATAAACATCTATGGCTGGCCCAGATGCCAAGCTCCGGTAATCTGAGACCTGTCTCTCTTTTACCGAAGGTGTCATAGAATCCTAGAATCATAGAATCAAAGAGTTGGAAGAGACCTCATGGGCCATCCAGTCCAACCCCCTGCCAAGAAGCAGGAATATTGCATTCAAATCACCCCTGACAGATGGCCATCCAGCCTCTGTTTAAAAGCTTCCAAAGAAGGAGCCTCCACCACACTCCGGGGCAGAGAGTTCCACTGCTGAATGGCTCCCACAGTCAGGAAGTTCTTCCTCATGTTCAGATGGAATCTCCTCTCTTGTAGTTTGAAGCCATTGTTCGCGTCCTAGTCTCCAAGGAAGCAGAAAACAAGCTTGCTCCCTCCTCCCTGTGGCTTCCTCTCACATATTATACATGGCTATCATATCTCCTCTCAGCCTTCTCTTCTTCAGGCTAAACATGCCCAGTTCCCTAAGCCGCTCCTCATAGGGCTTGTTCTCCAGACCCTTGATCATTTTAGTCGCCCTCCTCTGGACACATTCCAGCTTGTCAATATCTCTCTTGAATTGTGATGCCCAGAATTGGACACAATATTCCAGATGTAGTCTAACCAAAGCAGAATAGAGGGGTAGCATTACTTCCCTAGATCTAGACACTATGCTCCTATTGATGCAGGCCAAAATCCCATTGGCTTTTTTTGCCGCCACATCACATTGTTGGCTCATGTTTAACTTGTTGTCCACGAGGACTCCAAGATCTTTTTCACACGTACTGCTCTCGAGCCAGGCATCCCCCATTCTGTATCTTTGCATTTCATTTTTTCTGCCTGTAAAAGCGAATTAATGTTGTGTACACTGGGCTTTCCTTGGTTTACTCCGCATTATTTGTTTGTTTGTTTATTTATTTATTATTTCATTTATGTACCGCTTTTCTCAACCCCTGTGGGGACTCAAAGGGGTCCACAACAAAGTAAATGGCAAAATTCAGTGCCTCACAAAATATACTAAAATAACATATAATAATAGATTAAAACCAATGAACTATAAAACATCAGACACTGACAAACATAAAAAAACCCATAAAACATTGCACCAATACTGAAGTTTTCTTGACTACTCAATCTCACTCCCCAGATGCTTATTTATTTATTATTTATTAACTGCATTTCTATACCGCTTTTCTCACCCCAGGGGGAACTCAAAGCAGTTTACAACATAATATACCACAAATTCAATGCCTCACAAATATATAAAAATATCACATATCTAAATCAATATCATATATAGTAACTGTAGATTAAAACTATAAAAACATCAAATATAGACGTAAGCATGAAACCTATTACTGCTGCAATTAACAATGTAGACCCCTTCTCTCCTCCCTCACTCGCCATCTCTCTCTCCATAGTGATGCTTGCTTGAAAAGAAACAATATCAGGAGGGAGGGGGGCTGATCTGATCTTGCCGGGGAGGGAGTTCTACAGCTGAGAAGCCACCACCGAGAAGGCCCTGTCTCTGGTCCCCACCAGTTGCATCTGCGAGGGCAATGGGACCGAGAGTAGGACCTCCTCAGCTGATCTTAATGCTCTAACTGGTTCATAGAGGGAGATACATTCAGATAGGTAAGCTGGGCCGGAACCGTTTAGGGATTTTATAGGCTAAGGCCAGCACTTTGAATTGTGCTCGGTAGCAAGCCAGCAGCCAGTGGAACTGGCTCAGCAGGTGGGTTGTATGCTCCATGTGTGTCGCTCCAGTTAGAAACCTGACTGCCACCTGTTGGACTACTTGAAGCTTCCAAACATTCTTCAAAGGTAACCCCACATAGAGCATGTTGCAGTAATCTGTTCGAGTTGTAATTACGTACTACATTAGGTCCGGATCTTAGTGAAATATCCAGGTCGAATGAGGTATTGGGCCTGTGGCGATTGACTTCCAGGGTTATGTTCCACAACACCAGGGGTCAATCAACACAGCCATCTCGCACTTTCAGGCCCAAAGGTCCAAGAGGGTACCTACCCCATCCCTCTCAGCTCTGAATTTAGTCCCTAAAACTTATCTAAAAGCAGCTGCCAAGCATGAAGCCTGTTTGTAAAGTTCTCCTAGAACACTAAAATGGTGTGTGAGGAGATGGGCAGAGGGGGAAGGATTTCCCTTTTCCCCCTCCCATCTCCTTACATGCCATTTTAACATGCCAGGATAACTTTATAAACAGGCTCTGTGCCTGGCAGCCGCTTTCAAGTAAGTTTTAGGAGCTAAAATCGGGGCAAGGGGGTGGCTTTATGCTATCCCAAATTCACCTCCACGGAAAATGGGATTTGGGTTGTGGGGTGGGAACTAGAACCCGCACCAAAGTGGCTTACTTTAACCCATTTCAGCGTGGGTTTTCGTTATGTATGGAAGCACCCCTTGTTGTATTCAAAGACAATTCAGCCATAATTGTATGAGACTAATGAGTAGGTTCAAACCCCTACACTGTATTGTTTTTAGTGTATAACTTCGCATATAATTAAACTGTTTTTCTGTAGTGTATACTCACAATTGACAGTAAGGTTTGAGGTGCCAGTCCCATTACCAAACGGGTTGGAGATGGTACAACGGTAAACACCTGTGTCCGTGCGTTGTGGGCTTCTTATCTGCAAGTAGCCAGCAGAACGCAAATATCGAGGATTTTCACCAAGATGCTGCCCATCCTTGGTCCAGGATACAGAGCCATGGACTGGGGTGCAGTTCAGGGCCACTGAGCTGTCATCTTCCATTGCTTCAGCAGATGGCGGGATCACAGAGACATCACCTATCTCCTCTGAGAAAACACATAGGAATGGGATGTGATAGCTACCACCACACCTCTCCTCTAATCACTAGTTTCCACTACACCCTAGCTTGACCCATGAACCCTGGAGTCCTGCCTCCCTTCTAACATTCTTCTGCCACATAAGTACAGGGACCTTTCCAGCTTTCCATTCTTCTCCTGAAGCTCAAGGGATGGTTGAAGAACCAATTCTTATAGGTGATGGTCTTATTTTGAGTGTATAGATCAGGTATGAGCAAACCTTGGCCCAGGAGCCAGATGTGGCCCCTTGGGCTCTTTTCTCAGGCCCTCCTCTTTCTCACCATCTTATTCTTCCTTCCTTCTCTGTTTCTGTCTTCCTTCCATTCCTTCCTTACCTCCCTCTTCCTGCATGGTAGGGGGTTGGACTGCATGGCCCTTGGAGGTCTCTTCCATCTCTAGGATTCTAGGATTCTATATCAGGAGTAGACAATATGGTCTAATTGATATACTTTTTATCTCCCATCCACCATCTCATCCTAACCAAGGCCAACCCTTTTGGGATCCAAATGTTTCCCTTCACTTTCTGCCTCCAAAAAAGAACAGGAATGGGAGGAAGGGGCAGGGAGGGGACTTGGGAGAACCCTCTCCCTCCTGGTCCATCCACCCCGCTCTTTGGCCCGCCATGCGGCCCCCAAGTTAGAAAACTTGCCTATGCCTGGTATAGATAATGAGGGCAGAGGGGACAAAGTGAGTGAGCTCTTCCATCAAAAATAATCCTGTATCCATGACTTTTTTTTTCAGCCCCCAAATTTCTTGTATTGCAGAGAAGTAAGTCATTGAAAATCTTTCCCATCACAAACGTTTATATTTGATGAAGTAACGTCTTCTTGGGTAACTTTTCCCCTTTTCTTTGGATGCTCAAAACTGTATTTTGAAATGCTCAATTCAGGTTTTGAGCTAATGAAATGCTTGAAAAATTGGGGTTTCAAGGAGAACTTTATTGAAGGGGCAGAATTCTCAATTGTGTGTGTGTGTGTGGCGTCCTCATTTTGCTTCCTCCTCATCTAGTGATACATCTGGCTTGCCTCCCCTCTACTGTTTTATTCTGCCTTTGTTTAATACAATGGAGGAATATCGTATCATTAAACTTTGAATGGGACAAGAATGAAAAAAGAGGAAATTGGGTCATTTTTCTGTGTCTCTGACCGACTCAAAACAAGAAGAGATCCAAGATCTTTCAGCTCTTTGCCTTGGATCTTGGATCACTGCAGTAGTCAAGCAAGGTGAGTTTGGGAACTCATTCTTCTGGAATACACAGCATATGAACTCAGCATGTAGCTGGAGGTGAAGAGCCTTCAGCAAATGTAATTGTGTGTGTGAAGGAAGAGGGAGCAAAGATTTCAATGTGGGACTGAGGTCTACTGATAGTATACCCAATATATTTTTTCAGTGCTGAAAGGCAAACCATGGAGATGAAAGAAAAACGAATCCACTGGACATGCAGGTAGCACACTAGAGAACTGCAAAAACATTGACCCAGAGTGTAGCAGAGGAACAAAAAGAAGGAAGAGGACCACCATCACCTCAGTGCTTTTGAGAAACCAGCCTTGTGAGATCTTGGCTGACATCCTTCAGCTCATTCCACTAAACTGACAAACCTCATAACCTCATGAACTAATAGCCAACTTTTGTTTTTCTTTTCCCTCCCATACTTTTTCCTTTTGTGCTGCATCTTTTTTCAACTGTTAAGCCTCAGGGAGGGATGTGCTGTGTTAAAGGGTCCATTCTTGCAAGGGAGGATGAATAATTGAATCCATTTTCTCCATACTTCAAAAATTATGAGTTGTCAAAGAGATCTCGCCTAGGGAGAAGGTATCCAACAGTGTGTGTGTGTGTGTGAAATCTTCCTGACCTACACATGTATAAGATGCAAGGATATGGCAGTCAAGGATCTAGAACAAAGTAGGCCTTCTTGTACCTTCTGCTGCTTTCCCTCATTGCCCACCAAACACGACAGCAAGTGTGTGGGAGGTAAGTCAACCACGGATCTGGAAAGCGAAAACCTTCTAGGATCATTGCCTGGCTCTTCCAAGCCAGTTGGATGTTTGACATGGGGAGTTGAGTTTATTTGAGGTCTTGATGGAAACCAAAACTTGAGGAGGAAACTCTTCATTGGAGTTTTCAGCCACTTAAAAAGCTCATTTCTCATCCCAACCCTTAGATATGTAGATGATACCACTTTGATGGCCAAAAGCGAGGAGAAGCTGAGGAGCCTTCTAATCAAGGTGAAAGAAGAAAGTGCAAAAGCTGGGTTGTAGCTAAACATAAAAAAAAACCAAGACAACCTGACTGATTGATAACTGGCAAACAGAGGGAGAAAACGCAGAGGCAGTGACAGACTTTGTATTTTGGTGCGATGATTACTGAAGACACAGACTGCAGCCAGGAAATCAGAAGCCATTTACTTCTTGGGAGAAGAGTAATGACCAATCTCGATAAAATAGTGAAGAGTAGAGACATCACCCTAGTAAGATCCACATAGTTAAAGAAATGGTATTCCCCGTAGTAATCTATGTATGCAAGAGCTGGACCATAAGGAAGGCTGAGTGAAGGAAGAGAGATGCTTTTGAACACAGTTCAAACAGTGTTGGAGGAAAATCCTGAGAGTATCTTGGCCCACGAGAAGATCCAGCCAGTCCATAAGCCAGGAAATAATGTCTGACTGCTCACTGGAGGGAAGGATATTAGAAGCAAAGATGAAGTACTTTGGTTACATCATGAGGAGACAGGAAAGCTTAGAGAAGAGAATGAGGCTGGGGGAAATGGAAGGAAAAAGGAAGAGGGCCGACCAAGGGCAAAATGGATGAATGGTATCCTTGAAGTGACTGGCTTGACTCTGAAGGAGCTGGGGGTGGCCACGGCTGACAGGGAGGTCTGGTTTGAATGGTCCATGAGGTCACAAAGAGTCAGAAGCAACTAAATAAATAAACAACAACACCCCTCCCCAAGCATCCAGATTTTTTTCCATCACTGAGGACAGGTACTGTCTTCCTTTTGTTAAAAGAAATCTAAGCTGCTCTAAGGGGCTTTCCCAGTCTAAACCCAATATACGAATGCTATAAATACCGCACATCCCTACACACATATTTAAGAACACAGACAAAGTCAAGACTGAATCTACATGGCCAAACATGCAGTTTGAACTGTATTATATGGGTCTAGATCAGATATGGGCAAACCTAGGCCTGGGGGCCAAATGCAGCCCTTGGGCTCTTTTCTCAGCCCCTCCTCTCTCACGCCATCATATCCTTCCTTCCTTCCTTCCTTCCTTCCTTCCTTCCTTCCTTCCTTCCTTCCTTCCTTCCTTCCTTCCTTCTCCCTTTCTTTTCTTCTTCCATCCTGCCCTTCCTTCCTTATCTCTCTCTTTCTCCTTCCATCCTTCCCTTCTACCCTGTTGTCCTTCCATCCTTCCCTCTCTCCCTTTCTCCTTCCCTTCTTATTTAAGCTAAAGAGCCGGTGTAGCCTGTACACACCTCCAAAGTCAGCATGACTGCATGGAGTGCCATTACCTTCCCACAGAAGCGGTACCTATTGAGCTACTCATGTTTGCATGTTTTTGAACTGCTAGGTTGGCAGAAGCTGGGGCTAACAGCAGGAGTTCACCCCGCTTCCTAGATTCGAACCACCAATCTTTCGGTCAGCAAGTTTTATATAAGGAATACAATTTTACTTGGACCCCTGGTAGTGCTGCTGCTCAGCTGTTTAACCCGCTGCACTACCAGGGGTCCCAGTAAAATTTTATTCCTTATATAAAACTTGCTGACCGAAAGATTGGTGGTTCGAATCTAGGAAGTGGGGTGAGCTCCTGCTGTTAGCCCCAGCTTCTGCCAACCTAGCAGTTCGAAAACATGCAAATATGAGTAGAACAATAGGTACCGCTTCTGTGGAAAGGTAATGGCACTCCATGCAGTCATGCTGACCACAGCTCAGCTGTTTTACCTGCTGCACTACCAGGGATCCCAGTAAAATTGTATTCCTTATATAAATGGCAAAAACCAACATGTCTTAAGTTTTTGTTTTGCATTTTTAACCCATTGCTGTGTTATCTATAGATACAGACTCCCTGGTTATAGGGGACCAAGACCCCCTCTACACTGACATATAAAATCCAGACTTTCTGCTTTGAACTGGATTATATGGCAGTGTAGACTCATATAAGCCAGTCCAAAGCAGATAATGTGGATGAGTCCCCCTTTGGGGGTTGAGAAGTGCTTGAAATAAATTATCTGATTTGATCATCTGGCAGTGTAGAAGGGGTCCAAATCTACCAGGAAGAAATAGCACAGCATTCTTATTGGTTTATTATTTTCTTCTGACAGTGAAGAAGTCAGAAAATTCTTTCTTCAAAACTTGGGAATGAATAGATACAGATATTCTTTCCATTCCTGATGGACCTGATGACTTTTCCCCCCAGCTTCTTTCTCAACATGTCTTGAGTCGACATATCCTACTGCCATTGGAGCGTAAACTTGGTACTCACCATACACTTGAACAGTGATGTTTTCCTTCTGTGCTGAGCTCCCCAGAGGGAAAATCTCCACCGTGTAGATGCCAGAATTGGAAGGAGTCATTGCAGTGATGTTGAGGTTGCCACTCAAAGGGTCCACCCTGAATTGAGGATGAAAGCTGGGGGCTACCACAACGGTGAAATTGGGGTGCAAGCTCCCCATGGCCAGGATGGTGTTATTCCTTCTCCAGATAATAGTGGTTTGAGTCTGAAAAGAGGGTAAGGGGAATGGGATGGGGAGAGAAACAGAATCCCCTACACGCACAGCCAGAGGAGAGGAAAGAACAGCAGGGAGAAGTAGAACTGAAAAGGGTGAAGTTGGGAAGGAACAGAAGGAAAGAGAAAATGCATTATTTGTGTCATGTATTTGGTACATTTTTGTCTGGTCCAATACATTAGTATTTCTCAACCTGGGGGTTGGGACCCCTGGGGGGGTCGCGAGGGGGTGTCAGAGGGGTCGCCAAAGACCACCAGAAAACACAATATTTTCTGTTGGTCATGGGGGTCTCTGTGTGGGAAGTTTGGCCCAATTCTATCATTGATAGGGTTCAGAATGCTCTTTGATTGTAGGTAACTATAAATCCCAACAACTACAACTCCCAAAACTCAAGGTCTATTTTCCCCAAACTACACCAGTGTTCACATTTGAATATTTGTGCCAAGTTTGGTCCAGATCCATCATTGTTTGAGTACACAATGCTCTCTGGATGTAGGTGAACTACAACTCCCAAACTCAAGGTCTATGCCCACCAAACCCTTCCAGTATTTTCTGTTGGCCATGAGAATTCTGTGTGCCAAGATTGGTTCAATTCCATCGTTGGTGGAGTTTAGACTGCTCTGATTGTAGGCGAACTATAAATCCCAGCAACTACAACTCCCAAATGTCAAGGTCTATTTCCCCCAAACTCCACCAGTGTTAATATTGGGGCATATTGATTATTCGTGACAAGTTTGGTCCAGATTCATCATTGTTTGAGTCCACAGTGCTCTCTGGATTTAGGTGAATTACAACTCCGAAACTCAAGGTCAATGCCCACCAAATCCTTCCAGTATTTTCTATTGGTCATGAGAATTCTGTGCGCCAAGATTGGTTCAATTCCATCATTGGTGGAATTCAAATGCTCTTTGATTGTATGTGAACAGTGAACTATAAATGCCAGCAACTACAACTTCCAAATGACAAAATCAATTCCCCTCAACCCCACCAGTATTCAAATTTGGGCGTATCGGGTATTGGTGCCAAATTTGGTCTAATGAATGAAAATACACCCTGCATATCAGATATTTACATTACAATTTGTAACAGTAGCAAAATTACAGTTGTGAAGTAGCAACGAAAATAATGTTATGGTTGGGGGTCACCACAACATGAAGAACTGTCTTAAAGGGTGGCGGCATTAGGAAGGTTGAGCAACACTGCAATACATGGAGCAGGATAGAGAGAGATAACAGTTTTGTCTGTCTTCCAAGCTTGGTGACCCACCATTATGAAGGTCAAGATGGCCACCTTTAGGGTAACGTTTAAGGAGAGCAAATCAACATTCGAATTATGAATTTGTGTGTTGGAAACTCATTCCTGACTCCACCAGTGCTACCATAATTTAGTTAAATAGCCTCCTTTTTTTTTTTTTTTTTTGAAAAAGCAATTAGTGGGGTCAACACAGGAACCTTGGGGATAGTCCAGTCCTGGAACGTTACTTTTAAAAAGTCATTAATTGCAATTATATTTCAGAGGTCAAATTACAGTAATATTTCCCAGGTTAGGTACTCCTATAAGTAAGTATTGTATCATTTTACAGCTTTTACTGATTGTTTTAAGTGTGCGATTGTTACATTTATAATCTACTGTGTTTTACTAGACTACAGGTTGAGCATACTTTATCTGGCATTCTGAAATCTAAAATACTATGAAAGCCAATACCATCAAAAGGATAAGCCAAGATACTAACTTTACTTTCTGATGGACTGTTGTGAGTTTTCCGGACTGTATGGCCAATGTTCCAGAAGCATTCTCTCCTGAAATTTCACCTGTATCCATGGCAGGCATCCCCAAAAGTTGTGAGGTCTGTTGGAAACTAGGAAAATTGAGTTTATATACCTATGGAATGTCCAGGGTGGGAAAAAGAATTCTTGTCTGTTTGGGGTAGGTGTGAATATTTCAATTGGCCACCTTGATTAGCATTTAATGGCCTAGCAGTTTCAGATCTGGCTTCTTACTGCCTGGGGGAATCCTTTGTTGGGAGGTGATTAGCGGGCCCTGATTGTTTCTTGTCTAGAATTTCCCTGCTTTTGAGTGTTGTTCTTTATTTAATGTTATGATTTTAGAGTTTTTTAATACTTTACTTCATGATGGTTCAGTACTTTGTTACATAAAACTATTAATAAATTTTGAGTACACAATTACTTTCGGTTTACGTGCATCAACTGCATATGGAACATAAATGAAATTGGGTGTTTAGGCTCTGTGTTCAAGATATCTCATAATATCAATCCAGTATATGCAAATAGGGCCCCCCTGGTAGCACAGCAGGCTAAACCGCTGAGCTGCAGCACTTTTTGACAGAAAGGTTGGTGGTTGGAATCCAGGGAGCGGGGTGAACTCCCGCTGTTAGGCCCAGCTTCTGCCAACCTAAGAATTCAAAAACATGCAAGTGTGAGTAGATCAATAGGTACCACTTCTGCGGGAAGGTAACGGCACTCCATGGAGTCATGCTGGCCACATGACCTAGGAGGTGTCTATGGACAACACCAGCTCTTCGGCTTAGAAATGGAGATGAGTACCACCCCCCCCCCCCAAAGTTGGACACAACTAGAGTTAATGTCTGGGGAAAGCTTTACCTTTACTTATATGCAAATACAGGTACCATTTGGCCCTGCARTCGGTGGGGTAAAGGGCACAAACATTCCAGGGAAATAAAAAATTACATTTTTTTTAATTGAGAGAACACCACTTTAATCACACTACAGAAAAAAATCMACTGAAAATCCAGTTTCTGCCTCCTGCAGAATTCTGGGTTTTGTAGTTAGGGGAGAACCTTAACAGCCTCACTAAACTACAAACCCCAGAATTCTGCAGGAGGCAGAAACCAGATTTTCAGTGGATGTTTTCTCTAGTGTGATGTAAGTGTAAGACTTTCCAGGATTACCAGCAGGACTTTCTGGTCAGATGTTAAGCACAGTATTGCATTTGAAGACATCAAGATTCTTAGACCCTTTTCTACTCTGCCATATAAAATTCAGATTATCTGTTTTGAACTGGATCATATGGCAGTGTAGACTCATATAATCCAGTTCAAAGCAGATAATGGGGATTATCTGCTTTAATAATGTAGTGTAGTATAGAAGGGGCCTATGTGTTGCAGTTACACCAAGGTGTAACATTATCCTTGAGCTTGTTTGGAGGTTCTAGCAGGGGAGCGCAGCTATCGCTTCTCGGCCTTTTGGCTAAGATCAAGTGTAGTGTAGTAACATTATCCTTTAACATTCCCCTTGCAATGTAATTCAGGCCCCTTCCACACAGCTGAATAAAATCCCACATTATCTGCTTTGAACTGGGATATATAGCAGTGTGGATAACCCAATTCAAAGCAGATATTGTACGATTTTCTGCCTTGATATTCTGGGTTATAGGGCTGTGTAGAAGGGCGCTTAGTTATCTCTCAATGGAGGAAAGTAAAAATTAGAACTTACTATTTATTTGTAATTCTTTGCAGACAAGTTCTGGAGAAGCTGTTGCCAGCCAGGAAAGACAGCAAGGAGGAAGAAAAACCAGCAGCCAACACAGTATGAATGAGGAAGCTTCCTGGGATCATAATGGGCTTTTACTGCCACCCCCTGGAATGCTAGCAATGTGCAAAAATGTATTTTTTTTTATCATTATAGGAGGAAATTACATTTTGGGTATTCTGACTCCAATGCTAAAATCTAAGTGAACCTCGAAGTAGTGAGGGAACACTGTAATAGGTTACAAGTAATGTGTAATGCATTTTTAAAATACTCGATACATTTGAATTATAAGAGCTGTAAGGTCTTTTCTCTGCTGAAGAGTTTGGTACCTCCCCAAACTACAAATCAAAACATGGTCCATGGCACTTAAAGTGTTGTCAAACTGCATTAATTCTACAAAGTGGATGCACTATTAAAATCAGTCGGTTGCCCTTTGGGGTGGCATCTTCTTCCATTCATCTTTATGGGTGGATCAATCCCACTTCTTGAGATTACCTCTATTTGCAGGTTTTGTAGAAGTGGTGCTTGAAAAAACCTGCCAAATTTGTCTGTCCAGAGCCAATGGTGGGACAGGAAAAAAGCCTAATGTGTATTTGGGGTTCTTGTTATCTGCTTTCAAGTCATTTCCAGCCTTATCGCAAAAGTTTTCTTGGCAAGATTTGTTCAGAAGGGGCTTGCCATTGCCTTTCTCTGAGGCTGAGAGACCCCTTCTACACTGCCATATAATCCAGTTCAAAGCAGATAATCTGGATTTTATATGCAGTGTAGAAGGGGCCAGAGAGTATGACTTGCTCAAAGTCTCCTGCCAACAGGTATTTAGGGGCAGGCTGTGAGAATGTTGGGTGGGATTGGGGCAGAGGTTAGGGATGAGTTTTAAAGGCCGTTTTAGTATATTCATTGTATTCTAATTCTGTTTTTATCACACTGCTACTATTTAATTGGGTTTTTTTTATTTTGTATTGCACTTTTAAAACTTGTCTAGTGTGGATTGTTAGCCACCTTGAGTCCCCCATGGGGAGAAAGAAAGAGTATAAATAAAGATAATAATAATAATAATAATAATAATAATAATAATAATAATTTAATAATAATAGTAATAATTATTAATATTAATGATGCAAATGTGACAGTGTGAGTAGATCAATAGGTACTGTTCCAGCAGGAAAGTAACCACACTCCAGGCAATCATGCTAGCCACATGACTTTGGAGGTGTCTACGGACAGTGCCGGCTATTCGACTTAGAAATGGAGATGAGCACCAATCCCCAGAGTTGGACACAACTGGACTTAATGTCAGGGGAAAACTTTTACCTTTACCTTTATTAATAATAATATTATTAATAATAATAATCTATATAAATAAAAATGTAATGTTTGTTTGTGGGATTAACCTAATTCAAAAACCACTGGACGAATTGCCGCCAAATTTGGCCTCAAGACACCTACTAACACAAAGAGTGACCATCACTCAAAAAATTGATTTTTGCCATTTGGGAGTTGTAGTTGCTGGGATTTATAGTTCATCTACAATCAAAGAGCATTCTGAACTCCATCAATGATGGAATTGAACCAAATGTGGACTTCCATGACTAACAACAGAAAACACTAGAAGGATTTCGTGGGCATTGACCTTGAGTATGGGAGTTGTAGTTCACCTACATCCAGAGAGCACTGTGGACTCAAAAAATGATTGATGTGGACCAAACTTGGCACAAATATTCCATATGCCCAAATATGAACACAGATGGAGTTTGGGGAAAATAGACGTTGACATTTGGGAGTTGTAGTTACTGGGATTTATAGATCACCTACAATCAAAGAGCATTCTCAACCACACCAATGACAGAATTGGGGCAAACTTCCCACACAGAACCCCCATACTTAGGGCCATCCAGTCCAACTCTCTTCACCAGGGCAAGAAAACATAATCAAAGCCCTCCTGACAAAGAGCCACCCAGCCATAGATGTAGATAGATATATATGATTCACACCCAGAGAGATATATAGTATCATAGATTTCAAAGAAACCCCTAAAGAAAGACAATTATATGTTGCATGTTCCAGAGTAGGCAAACCAGACCATCTCCACATGAACACTGACAAAGAAACAGCAAGAAATACTGTTTGCCCTCAAACATAAAGAAATTACATATATTAGAAACCAACACTTTCTCATTACTTTATTTTCCAGATCACCATAGCAATGTGTGGCAGGGGACGGCTAATAATAATAATAATAATCAGAAGTGACATGCAGCATGCAACCAAACAATGTACTCTTGGTTCACTCCTGATACGAGAAATGAAATTGTTGTTGATGATGATGGAAACAGCAACCTTTCAAGCTTTCAGTATTTGTTTGTTAATGTATATCTTTGCTAACCTGTATTGTATGATATATTGATTTGCCAGTTTTACTGATCTCTTTGGTGTGGGAGGGACTACAGATATGTGATTTCACTGAGCATGTTCAGACTCAAGACTCCATTTTGTTATCAGTATGCTTTTGGACTTCAATGGAGGAGGTGTGCTTTGGACTTCCAAGGAAGCAGTTTGCATTTGGACTTATGCAGTAACAGTTTACTATATGTTTGCTTTGAGAAGCAGTGAGTACAGTTATACACTTTGGATTTTCATAAGGTATATACTTAAAGACTGGATTATGAACTATTGATTAAGAATGATGCCCTGTGTTCTCAACACAGAGAAACTACATCCTATTTATAACTGAACTTTAATAAGAAATGTGCCTGTATGCTGAAACAATACAAGATGTTTCAGAGTAAACAAGATATGTTATTTTTAAAGAAGACTTTGTTTTTGCCTCTGAGTGCATATTTAAACTAAGCAGTTTCAAGGGAGAATATATGTTTTGGGCAACTGCAATTTCAACTTTAAAGAACATTTTCAAAAATCTGCTAGCCAAACATATGTTTTTTTATGCAATGGCATGTCTTTGTCCCTGGCAGTTCAAAGACATAGTTTATCAGTTTAACAGCCATGTGTCATTACATGAATGCTTGTGAACATCACTTTTTCAAAGGGTTGACTTCTAAAAAGGTCATGCCTTTCCTTGACTAGTGGTTTTCAAAAGGTGATCTCCAGATGTTCATGGGGATTCATATTTGCCAAAAGGATATGCTATCATTTTCCTTTTCAAAATGGGTATGAATGCCATTTTTCCAATAAGAAGAAGAGGAAGAGGAAAAGGAAGAGGAGGAGGAGGAGGAGGAGGAGGAAGAAGAAGAAAAGAAGAAGAAGAAGAAGAAGACGATGACGACGACGACGGCCCAATGGGGATTTGAACCGTGGTCTCTGGAGTCCCTGGCTCATGTTTCTAGACTGAGAATTGGAGAAGTCTCCTGTACTCAAATAATCTCATCATACGGATGAGGTATGGTGCCATGATTTGCCAGCCTCTATGGCTAATCATGGAAGCAGTGGAGTGGCAGCAAGGCAATCCCGGTGCCCTAGCTACCATCTGACATGTCCCCATCCTATGTGTGGAAGCATCACCACTGTGCCAAAGCCCCATTGTTCCTTATGGAACACTGGGTGGCTTCTATGTTGGTGATGGCAGCAGCTTCCCATCATGCTGCCATGCTAGTTTGCCCATGGAGCCCCACCCAAAGTCGCCATACATTGTTTGATGGGCAACATGGAGCTCCGTGGGCAAACAGGGGCAGAAGCATCCTAGAACACTTCAATCACCCCATGTGATGAGGCTGTTAGTGGTTGTGTATAAGAGGGAATTTCAGCAGGTATCACTTGCAATCTTGGTTGAATCACAAGCAACATTTGCAAAAATCCCTTCTTCTGCAGAACCATTAAAGGTACAGGAACCCTCTCCAGTTTTCAATCTGACAATCCCAGACTGTACCCCACTGCAAATGCACCCTCCTTGACGCCATCTTTCCAAAGCTCTTTGTCTATCGTCAGCCTTAGTTTCTAATTAGAGTCTAATTAATGTTACGTAGCCATGAACAATAATACTAAACTCAGTCCCAGCGCTTGCCAACAGCTGTTTTAAATTTGCATCCATTTAAATAAATTACATTTCTGTTCAATAATTTAATTTTATAGGGAAGGCCCAGCATGACGGATCTCTGTTGAGAAAGGCCAAGGAGCACAGGACTTGTGCATGTCCTGACCAGGGCCTGGCACACACTGTTAATTTGTGTGGCAAAAGTGGCACATTGCTGAAGGGGAGGGCAGCAAATTTGGCAGCAGCTAGCCCCCAATTTGCAGCCTCAGACTCCATCTTTCCACACAGCTGCCTTGACAGGCGCTTATCTGCATCTGAGCAACAACAACAAAAACTCTCCGCTTGACTTCTTTAGCCCATAAAGCCATGACCTGCATGCCACAAAGCCTGTGTCACTCCATAGCTGCAACTAAATCAGCTCGCTCCAGGGCTTGGAAGACCACATAGAGGGTTGAATCCGGAGCAGGAGGTCTTGCTGAGAGCAATCGGGAAGTCTCACTATACAAAACCGGAGCTAAATCAGTGACTTCCCTCCCTCTGTCCTCCGTCCTGGCCCCCACCGTCACTCGACTTGCCAGGTTTAAAAATACAGGCATTCCCTTTTCTGTATTCATGGCGCAACCAGAAGGAGCCATTCTTGGAAGTGGGTTCTGCAGGGAGACTCGTGAAAGAAGCATTGAAATATTCATGAAGGCACCAGGGAATGTGTGCATGTTGTGAAGGTTAGGAATGGGGGGGGGGGGGGGGGGGGCGGAGGATGTCTTTCTGTACCAGGCAGGGTGTGTGATTCCCACAAAGTTCATTTTGATCAGGAAATTCCAATCAATAATGGTCTCCTGTCTTTTCTCACAGTTGAAAGCAATGGTTTTCAAATCAGGGCAAGTTTCTGTCCTTGTGACAGAGCACATTAA